CATCCGGATTGAACAGGTCACCCCTGTCCCAGAAGTAGTTCAGTGCCCCATAAACCTATACCCCTCTTTCCTACACCAGGTTCAGTAGCCACGTGTTAAACCTCCAGATAAAATTCTGCTTCCCTCTGCTTGCGTGGTACGGTAGAATCCCAGAGAACACTACCGTGGAGGATCTGCTCCTAAGCTTTTCAGCTAATTCAACAAATTTGCTTTGCAGAACTTCAAACCTACCCTTACCTATGTCATTAGTCCCAACATGGACCATGACAACTGGATCCCACCCGCTCTGGCCAGGAGCTTGTCCGCACGCTCAGGAGGTCTCCTACCTGGGCACCAGGCAGGCAACACACCGTCTGAGACTCCTTGTCGCGCGAACAGACTAAACTGTCTATTCCTCTAAGTATTGAGTCCCCCACTATCAATAACTCTCTTTTCTGAGGGGTAGAGGCCAACAGGGTGCCCTGCTGCTCATCAGTCCCCTCACTCTCAGGGTCAGGGGCCAATTTGAGTTCCTGCAAGGGCGGAATCGGTTGGACACCTCAACCACTGGAGGAGCTGTCGCTGTGTCACGGTGTGCACGCCCTTTCCTGCGCTGACGTCCTACCGTCACCCAACTTTCTCTCCCTGCCTGCTCTAGGGTCCCCACACCACCCTGCTTTGGCGTACAAACCATTTTCTAAACGACATACTACTTAGTCCTCTAGGAACTCTACTGATTTGCGAACTATGTCGTGCATTAACTGGCCCTGAAGATCAAGGATCTTGCTCTCCAGATGCTCAATTAGCTGGCACCGGTGACAGACAAACCTACCCTGGAAATCTCTTTCCAAAAGTGCGATCATCCTGCAACCGTCACATAGTTTTGGCCACATTTTGAACCCCCTACCTAATGACCTCGCTCACCTTAGATAACAAAGAAAATTACTAATGCCGAGACAGAAGCTCAGGAACCACAATTTATTTATTTATTAACCTGAGAAGCCCTAAGCAGCAGTCACAATAGAAACCGTGGGGAAACTATGTGAATGGATAATAAGCCTCTTTTAACAGGGGCTTAGTTTCAGTTAACAGAAATGAAATACCAAATAGAGAAACTCTATGGATAATAAGCACTCCTAATATGCCAACATGAATTTATCTAGTCCCGGTACTATTAATATACTAACCTAAAAATATCACAGGGCTTAGCTGAGAACCCAGATAAAAAAGACTGGCTACTACGCCCAGGAGAAACTAGAGGAGGGAGGAGGCGGAGCACTCCGGTAATGCTTTCCGTTTAAATTCCAACCAAACCGAATGGACGACTAAAGTGACTGCTGCCCTACTAACTAAATACTAAATCTCAGATCCCCAGCCAAAAATGCAAACAGTAACTATCTAGCTAGCTAGCCACAAATACAACCAAGGGTAACCGAGATAAGAGTAAAGCCTCGGTTCCCTTTAATTAAAACAGACTGAATAAACAAGTCGTTTACTTAGTGAGCGAACTATACACGGTACCTCCCCAACAAGCTGTCGCTGAGCACTCAAACAAACAGTTAAACTTTAATCAGCTGATCAAGGCACCGCAACCGGAGGAAAATACAAAGATAACGTAATTTGCAATGTGTTTAATCAGAAGAGCCCTTCGATGATAATAAAATGCGAAAAAAGACAAAACCCGGTTCGCGTTAATATTCAAGCTTGGCAATGCGTTTATGCGATAATCACGGTCAGGATACAGAACGCGGGGACTAAAAACCCGGTGAGCGTCAATATTTATTGGCTAGAAGACTGTATGAAAAGGCAAGCGACCAAGTATGAAACCAAACCGGGTTATAGTTAGATATCGGTAATTTGATATATTCTTGGCGTTGAGAGCTTATTATAGTTCGTTAGCTAAATCAGCTACAGAAAAAGCAGGCGACAGTGTACCTCAGTCCTTGAAAACAACTCTGTTTTACTTTGTATAGCACACAATTCACTCAGTTAGACAATTATTTAGCATTTAATTTATTCTTTAAATTTAGCGTTTAAATTTATTTTACTTTACCTTACTTTGCTCCCGGGAGACTTGAATCCCCCCCCCAAAAAAAACCCAAAAAACCCCCGTCGCCTTTGTTTGACCAGATTAGCGACTTAATTTGGCTGTTTGCTCACCGAGTTGTTACAGGGGAAAAAGGGAAAAAGAAGGAGGAAGATTCTCCCTGCCCCTAATGCGACAAAGGTTATACCTCGGGAGCAAATTGTCTAATCTCTAATACTGTTTGAGCCTTAACAGACAAATTATTTTCAGAAAACTCCGTTTAGACAAGAATAAATCTTCAGCTTTGATCCTACACGTCTTCCTCTGTCTCAACTCAAGCAGAATGAACACCAACGAACAGCGCTACAGCACAGCCAAGAGGTCAGCAACAGCAAAGCAACCTGTAGACACTGTTAAACCTGTTAAACAGTTAAACCTGTAGACACTGTGGCCCTCCAAGACTGGAGTTCAACCTGCAGACACTGCAGCCCTCCAGGACTGGAGTTAAACCTGCAGACACTGTGGCCCTCCAGGACTGGAGTTAAACCTGCAGACACTGTGGCCCTCCAGGACTGGAGTTAAACCTGCAGACACTGTGGCCCTCCAGGACTGGAGTTAAACCTGCAGATACTGTGGCCCTCCAGGACTGGAGTTAAATCTGCAGATACTGTGGCCCTCCAGGACTGGAGTTAAACCTGCAGCATGGGTTGGGAAGGACCGCAAGACCCATGGGCTCATGGCCCGTGTCATGGAAAATCAATGGGCTATTTTCAAAATGTATGGGCCATTCCCAAAATTCAATGCGCTAATAATTTTAACCATAACATACATTTAATAAAAATGTATACTGCATATACATACATACATTTTGCTTTGCATGTTTCATGCTAAAAACATACGGATACATACATTTTGCTTTTAATGTTTAGCATTAGAATATTGCTGAAAACAAAAAGAATCGTTAATACATAAGACAAAATTATGTGCTCAAATACACAAGGGAAATCGGCCGTTTCGGTTTCAATCATTCAGTAAAACTACTGGCTGTGGCATTAGTCTGCTGATACACTAATAAGTAGCTCTAAGTTGATAGTTTTTGACTTTATCCTCACAGTTCACAACCATCTTGTAGCGGCACTGGCTGCAACTCTTCATGGACGAGTGTGAAAATTATTTGACTCAGAAGTAATCATGGCTTGAGGATGAGCCTATCCCACATGATGATACGACCCCATGAAGTTTTCCTAACACGCATTTTTTCAAGTTTTCTCTGGTGAATTACAAGAAAACACATGACACATCCATGGTTCTAGTACTTATCTGTATATCATTGTTATTAAATTGGTGCAGTGTTGCTGTTGAAACTCCCATAGTACCCCATAGTTCCCATGATATTGAAGCTTGAATTTGGTTACGGAACAAATCTTGTTGAAGAAAATACAGATTTTGGCTTAAGATTGTGACAGCTAGAATTGGCATACAATTGATTTAATTGCAGTTTTTAAAAGTGCTCTGTTATGTCTTTCAGCTCTGAAAATTTCATTTAGCCATCTTTAATACACATGAGGATATGAGGGCTCAAAAATGCTAGAAAAAATGACTCGCGTTAGAAAGCACGAAATTTCGACCTACTCCCGAGTACTTTTAGAGCCTGTATCTCAAAAACTCTTCACAAGATCAAGGTAATATTTGGTAAGGATTCATTAAATACACTCAAGTTATTTTACTAGAGCAATCAGCTGATTCTGAGGGGGTCAGGTGGGAGGCACTTGTAGATTTTATGTGGAATGACGCAATATATTAATAACAAAGAAATTACCAAAGAAATAAGTAGGATAAAGGAAATGCATGCATAATACCTAAAATCGCAAATTAATGGTAATCCTGAGTGAATATAAATGGTTCCCAATCATAAAAACGTATCCTCCGTGTTGGAAAACATGGTGCCAATAGCAGATAGGCCCTCTGAAGTTTTGCACATTGTGGAGGGCCAATACACAACCTTGTCTGGCCCCAATACTTCTTGTATATAATTCCCTGATCATTTCCTTTGTGTGTTAACCCCATCACCCTTCAGCCCTGTGTGTTAACCTCATCACCCCTCAGCCCACACCCCAATTTCCCCTCACCTTGTTTGTCTCTCCCCCCACCTCCTATCACTCTAGGCAAATTACCATTTGTTCCTTTGCATCCTTTGAACTTTCAGCTATAAGTGTTCACATTTTCCCTCAGTTGTTGGTTCTTGTTGATCTGTAATTGGGGAACAGACCCACTTGTTCCTCTACTCTATTAAACTATCCACTTTGCAACTAAGACGTGCCTGCATTTATTTTTCTACTTACAAAAGTACGGAGGAATACAGCGAATTAAACTATCCACTTTGCAACTAAGACGTGCCTGCATTTATTTTTCTACTTACAAAAGTACAGAGGAATACAGCGAATTAAACTATCCACTTTGCAACTAAGACGTGCCTGCATTTATTTTTCTACTTACAAAAGTACAGAGGAATACAGCGAATTAAACTATCCACTTTGCAACTAAGACGTGCCTGCATTTATTTTTCTACTTACAAAAGTACGGAGGAATACAGCGAACTCTTAAAAAAACCCACACTCCGCGGCCACCTACCGTTTCAAAGTGCCGTCACATTAATAAACAATTAAATTGTGCTAAAAATGCTATACTTGCCCGGTGAATGTTCTGCTATGTGACGTTTTAAATGGTGTCATCGTATTATACAAATGAATAAGATATACTTTATTGAACCCCATGGGGTAATTCTTCCTCTGCATTTGACCCATTCTATAGTTAGGAGCAGTGGGCAGCCACAGAGCAGCGCCCGGGGACCAACTCCAGTTCTAAAGCCAGTTCCTTGGTCAGGGGCACTGGCAGGAGTGTTTCTATAATGCATGTTTTTGTGGGTGGGGGAGCCCGGAGTACCCGGAGGGAACCCACGGAAACACGGGGAGAACATGCAAACTCCACACAGCAAGGTCCCAGGCCGGATTCGAACCCACGACCTTCTTGTTGTGAGGCAGTAGGGCTAACCAGTGTGCCACCGTGTCGCCCAAATGAGAGCCTCCAAGCGAAAGACGCAAGTTTTATTTGGTTAATTGGCTCTAAATTTATCAAATGGATTCGGCTAGTCAGACTGCAGTGACCAGCATCTGTAACCGTGCTCTGAAGGCTGAATTCGGCATAACTCTGGCGGGCTTCAGCTTCAAGTTCACGTTAAGACAGTGGCTATTCTTACGACGGTTGTTAACTTCAAGTTGCATTTGCTTGCGATATAATGGAGATGCACATGCCTATAAATACAGTTTCAAATTAAGTAGCCTATAAATAAGTGGTTCGCATTACTATAGCTAACATATTAGACTGGGAGCTGGCTCATTTTATTTATGTGAAAAGGGTAAAAAGGTTTGACCCCGACAAGTCAAGCTATTCTATGTGATGTGTATAAATCACCATTGCTGGCTGCTGGACTCCTGTACGTTTGACCCCGGCACCCTTTTTAAAGGATTCCAAAAGAGGTTTTATTTATGTGAACGTCGACAATGAAATCAACTACATGGGCTTGTAGGGTGATGATGTGGCATCATAAATTTGTCAACGCCAGCAACTTCAGCTTGAACCCTTGCAGGGACAGTGAGCCTTTAAGGGGTAAAAAAAGGCCAAATATTTATGTGAAGGCCGATAAACACGTGGTTTACCTTTTCTTGAAGCTAGAAGAGCCTGCTACTTGAAAACCGAAGTGCCAGCAGGTTTTGACTGTACCAAACCCTTGCCAGCAAGACCCTTTTTAAGAGGTCAAAAAATCAAAATATTCATGCGAAGGCCGATATACACGCGATTTACCTTTTCTTGAAGCTGGAAGGGTCTACTGTTTGAAAACCGAAGTGCCAGCAAGTTTTGAGTGTACCAAACCTTTGCCAGCAAGACCCTTTTTAACCCTATTCAGGACTTTTGGGGTCCAATGGACCCCAAGCACTTTCATTTATTATTATCGTTTTCATTTTAAATGACACGTGTCCGAGATTTCATGCAATCCTCCATGGTTTAGTCACACAAAATACAGAAAAGAATGGCATTGCTGGGGCATGCACTTTTTGAGTAAATTGACAATAATACTCTATCACATTCTTCTAAGCAAAGCCATTTGCCATTTTTATCCCCTTGAAAAGTTCTGGATACTCCCTGGCTAGAATATTGTTGCAGCAGCAGGATCATTTCTTGAGATTGGGAGGACTTTATCCCAAGTAAGTTGCATAATTATCACAGACATAAAAATTATTTATTTCTTGTCCATGGCCATGTTTAACCATGTAGCCCATGTTTTAACAGTATATAGCCCCCTTTTGATAGCTTACAACTTCTAATTACATATGTTACATACAAAGTTATATGGTCAGAGCGGTGCTGAATTAGAACAGTATAGCACAGGGACCACTGTCCCTTCGCAAGTATACCAGGGCTGCTTTGATCACTCTTAGAGACTTTGATCTAGGGGAAAGAGCACCAAACATGCAGCCAGCTGCAACAAGAAGATGCTTTCTGTGCCCACATGAACAAGACTGGAAGACAAGAACCTGTTGCATTGATTGCGGAAACCATGTGTGTTAGGAGCATTGCACAGATAGTGTTTTGAGTGATCAGTGCCTCGGAACTGTCGAGAGAGTGAGACTAAACTCTAAAGTAATTTCTGAGATTAAGTTTTAGTGCTGGGACACTTTGGCAGAAGCTGTTGTAACGTAGAACTTGCGAGGTCCAATGGACCCCAGAGATATTATATCATACTTGCTGCTGAGAAATGAAGACATTATGGAAGGCAATACTAGACTGACATTTATTAGCGTGCTATGCAGTAGTTCTTAGTAGTTGAGCTGCAAATTTTCAAAGAAATTGTAATTTCTGGCTATAATGCCATTTTGTTGAATTTTTAGTTGGCCACTATATGTGGCATTAGAAATCTGATAGTAGATTTTAGCAAATGTACAGTTAAACTCAGTAATAAACTCTCCTCTGAAAATAAACAGGTACTTTAAGCTGTATGAAGTGATTATTTTAAGCTAAAATAATGAAAGTTACCTTTGGGTCCATTGGACCCCAAAAGACCGTTAATGTTTTTTCGAAGGTTCTGAATAGGGTTAAGGGGTCAAAAAATCAAAATATTCATGCGAAGGCCGATATACACGCGATTTACTTTTTCGTGAAGCTGGAAGGGTCCGCTATTTGAAAATCGAAGTGCCAGCAAGTTTTGAGTGTACCAAACCCTTGCCAGCAAGACCCACAGGTATGGTTTCACCTTGTTCGGAACAGCCTTTGAACACAGTGTAGACCAGGTATCCTCAAATACAAATCTTAAAGGTCCACAAAGAAATTTTTCAATGAGTCAAAGGTCCGTTTATTAGTCGGTCAAGCCACGACAAATCAACGTATCGCCCACCAACCAACCAACTTAACAATACTGTGGTGTACAGTAGAAACATAAAATGCATGACTCAACCACAAAATGTACTTTTAATTTTAACACATTTTCCCCTCCAAAATTCCTCAGGCAAATTGATATATCAGGAGGTACTGTGTTGTGGTTAAAGAAAACAAAATGTCCTTTTTATAAAAACAACAAAAAATACATACTAAAAAAAAAATGTCCTTTTGATTTTAACAAAAAAATAAGTAAAAAATACTCAAAAACAAAACTTTTTTCTTTTTAACATAAATTCAAATAAATAAATAAATGCTTAAAACAAAACACAGCACACAACACATTCACAACCCCTGCAAAGAATCCAAAACAAATATATCAGGAGGGGGGTAAATAACACTTTTCTTTTTAAATACAGACACAAAGGACACAAGAAAGGAGGAAAAATCCATCACTTCAGTCATACATTCTTTTATTATTTCTGCATCAGAGAATGGCTTCTTGTGCTTACCCAACACCCACCCCACTCTGAGTGAGCATTACCCAACACCCACCCCACTCTGAGTGAGCATTAGCACCCACCCCCTCAACACCCAACACCCCCCACTCTGAGTGAGCATTACCCAACACCCACCCCACTCGGAGTGAGCATTACCCAACACCCACCCCGAGTGAGCATTACCCAACACCCACCCCACTCTGGTGGGCATTACCCAACACCCACCCCACTCTGAGTGAGCGTTACCCAACACCCACCCCACTCTGAGTGAGCATTACCCAACACCAACCCCACTCTGAGTGAGCATTACCCAACACCCACCCCACTCTGAGTGAGCACTCTGCTGCTTTTTGTTGTTGTCATGGATGTAACAAGAATCCTGTTTGCAGCTTGATATGACGATTTCAGCTCCTTGATTTTTGTTGTTCTTAGCTCAGAATTTTGTGGATAGGTCTCTTCAATATAGCTGTGTTTTGTCTCTTAATGGCGTTTCAAGTTTCCACTCTTCACCAGAGCTACGGTCTCTTAGCATATTAGGCACAGTGGTATTGTGCTCGTGGGAGGGAGAATGAAGGCATATTGTTCAGTCCATTCCTCTTTGAATTGCCGATTTTCATTCTCTACCTTTCTTTTGGCGAACTTGGAACATGCCATTATGATTCAGAGCTGAAATCTTCTCTTCTACTCTTGATGACTGCTGGCAAAGCACCAGTAAACAAACTGCTTCAAAGCGAAAGTTAAAATGTGCCGCGTCGCGCTGCACCTGTGAACGCGCAGCGTTGTCATGGAGATCACAGCTGGTCTACACTGTATTCAGAGGTTGTTCCAAACAAGGTGAAGCCATACCTGTCATAAGTGGGTCTTGCTGGCAAGGGTTTGGTACAGTCAAAACCTGCTGGCACTTCGGTTTTCAAGTAGCGGGCTCTTCTAGCTTCAAGAAAAGGTAAACCACGTGTTTGTCGGCCTTCACATAAATATTGGCTTTTTTTACCCCTTAAAGGCTCACTGTCCCTGCAAGGGTTCAAGCTGAAGTTGCTGACGTTGACAAATTTATGATGCCACATCATCACCCTACAAGCCCATGTAGTTGATTTCATTGTCGGCGTTCACATAAATAAAACCTCTTTTGGGACCCTTTAAAAAGGGTGCCGGGGTCAAACATACAGGAGTCCAGCAGCCAGCAATGGTGATTTATATACATCACGTAGAATAGCTTGACTTGTAGGGGTCAAACCTTTTTATCCTTTTCACATAAATAAAATGAGCCAGCTCCCGGTCTATATAACAACTCAGTCTTAATGTTCACCGATCCGATCAAGGAATTAAAATGCATTAATGAGCGGAAAAATATTCAGTAAGCTCGCTGATCTGCCGTTTTCAATTGTAGCCTATGTCATGTTCGTTGTTTAACTGGGTAAGCGAAATTTTGCATGTAAATTAATTCTAGTGTTATTCGATAGTCTGCGACTGAAAAAAAAATGCTGTTAAGCTCTTTTTATTTAACATTGTTTCATGGCTATATCAAAATGAGCAATTAAATTAGGCCTATGCCTACATCACTAATCTTAACTGTTTCTTAGAACAAACCACAAGTTACAATTAAAACGCACATTTGCATGCATATTTACGAAGGGCATACAGTGGCGGATTTAGATATGGGCGACATGGGCAGTTGCCCAGGGTGGCATCTTGACAGGGGGTGCCGGCGGGAGCGAAAAAAAACAAAAAAACACTCATTTGCTTCCATCACTTGATTAGATAACTCCAGTCCGTGGATTTAAAATATGCGCCTGGGCGCTCTCTAGTCAACTCGGCAGGCAGTTGGCTGCCTACGTTCTGGCAAAGACACGCCTCGCCGGAGAGTGACGCTGCATTAGCAGCTTTGGCCCGTTTCCCCGATACGTCAGAGCGTCATCCATATCAGGGAGGGCAGGGTCTGCATGTAAACAACTGCAAGTAAACGGAGGAGATGTGGATTTTTAAAATCTACAACATTTACAGTTCTCAACCGATTTCACCTAGCCGTATATATATGGTTCATGATCTACATGGAGTACGAAGAAAAGGTTTTTATCTTTAGTAACTTTATATCTCGGTAAGTTAGTTACGCTATGATTGCTGTTAGATGCTCAAGAGAG